CAAAGTTTCAAAGTTCGGAAAACATGTAATTCTAGCTTTTTTGGTGATATTTCAAATTATAATCTGATAATTCGTTCGGCAGATATTTCAAAAGTCAGTTTTTTAAATTCTTCGTTATTGTGTTGGGCTAACAATTCCAGTAGCAAAACAAGAATTCTCAAAAAAAAATTTTTTTTTTCGTAAAGGAGAAGGATCAACCTATCGCCCTATATGAGTTGAAGTTTGTTTTTGAGCCTCTTTTTCGATATTGTAGACCAATGATTCCCAAAGTGGTCTATATCGACCCCTAGGGGTGAATGACAACCTGCAAGGGGTCTACGTCAGCGAAAAAAAATTTGGGGGTCCATGAAATGAATATGGGGGTCCACGATAGTGGATCTCAACACATACACTGATAGTACCTATTCACTTACATCATACTATCTTATAATATCAAGACATATACATTATTTATAAAAGTACCTATGAAAAAAAATTATTATATATGTTTATAAAATTGTGTAAGTTGTAAGATGTTGGTATTTGCTTTGTGGTCGCAATACATTTTGAACTTGTAAAAACCTGAGAGTCTCAGAGCTTCGCTACCTTGCACTGACTTGTTCAATTCGTCACTCTATAAATACGAATGTGGGACAAATACGTTTATTCGTTTCCTGAATCTTGAAAAGGAAAGTGCTAAGAAAATATTTTAAAAAATATAAACAGATAGTATATCACACAAATTATAGTGAGTCAGTGTTATTTTGTTTGAGAGTGCTGGAGAAAAGTAAGTACATTATTTTTTATTAAATTTTAGTTAGCAAAGAAAGATAAATTACGCCAATCATGACTTTAGTTATTAGTAGTTAAATATTCAATCATGCAAAATTACACTAGTACTCCTCAATAGTTTCTTTTTGAAAGTTTTAGCAATCGGTAATATAATTACAGTGCAATCTCCGTAATTCGAGCTAATTGTTGCAAGAAGATGTTCGAATTATGGAAAAATCAAAAAATATTTTTAATATACAGCTGCTGGATTTTCTGTCTTATTTAAATAATTGAATTTTGCCCACTGATGACTGATGCCATGTTCGAATCTAAAAAGAAATGTAGACAGTACAGTGTTGATTATTTGAAATTTGGCTTCATTCCATCATTGCCGGACAAACAATCGCCTATGTGCCTTTTATGCAACAAAGTTTTGGGCAATGACGCTATGAAACCATCTAAACTGCAAGATCATCTGAGAAGATGCCACCCTGATAAAACAGAGGAAGATTTGAAATACTTTCAAACACTCAAAGATAAATTTCAGAAGAGACCTACACTGGACAGAATGTTCGCTTTGACGTCACAAAGAAATGATGATGGTTTGCGGACGTCTTCCAATATCTCGTTACTTATAGCAAAATCCGGAAAACCGCATACTATCGGAGAGAAGTTAATTTTGCCAGCCGTTGAAGAGGTTTTAAAAACTGTTTTCCACAAACCTGCATCTGATATCATTAAAAGAATTCCCTTAAGCAACAATACTGTTGAAAGACGTATTGATGAACTGAGTTCTGATATTGAAAGCTTCTTATGTCATTATTTGCAAACGACCCATTTCTCTATACAACTGGACGAGTCAACTTTACCTGATAATGCAGCATTATTATTGGCATATGTTCGTTTTATTATGAATCAAGAAATCTACGAAGAACTGCTCTTCGCAAGAACTTTGATAACCGACACTAAAGGTGAATCAATATTTCATGTTTTGACGGATTACTTCATTGAAAAAGCAATTCCTTTATCAAATATACTAAGTGACATATAAATCCGAACACCCAGTTTAAATGGTTTTATTTTAATAAAAGTTGGTGAATGTATTTATCTTACTGTAAATAACAAGTGAAAAAATTTTCAGCCTTATCAGTTGGACATTCCAGTTTTTATACTGCTTTTTTTTAATTCACTAACGCTCTAAAAATGAATATTTCAGCCGCAGTAAAGAATCAACGTTGGCGGATTTTGGTTCTTGACATCCTTTACGATCGGTTACGATGCCTAGGGTACGGAGACCTGTACGATTTCGTCAACTTAGTGAGTTTGATAGGGGGACCGTATAGTGGGACTTCTGGAAGCTGGACTTTCTTTTCGGGCAATTGCAGTTAGAGTGCAAAGAAGGGTAGACACTGTGATTAGGTGTTGTCAGACTGTGAAGATCGCCGCCTAAGATTATTGGCCCTAAGGGACAGTTTCTCCACTACCAGGGCATTGCAAATGTATGGTTTGCAGAACATGGAAGACCTATTGGCATGCGAAGTGTTTACCGACGAATGATAAGTTTTGGCTTGTTTTCATACCGGCCACACTGGGTCCTCTCTTTAACTCGAGAACACCGACATAATCGCCTTGAGTGGTGCAGACAACGGTCACTCTGGGATCAGGAATGGAACAGTATTGTCTTTAGTGACGAGTCTCGATTTTGTTTAGGCATGCACGATGGTCGTGCCAGGGTTAGAAGGCGACGCGGTGAAAGGAGGAATCCACAGTTTTTTGTTGAAAGACATGTTCATCACACTGTTGGAGTTATGGTTTGGGGTGCTATAGCTTATGGTTCCAGGTCACCTTTAATATTCATCAGAGGTAACATGAACGCGCAGCGTTATATCCACGAAGTTCTAGAACCCCATCTTTTACCCTATCTTGACACCCTGGCAGATCCAACTTTCCAACAAGATAATGTCCGACCACATGTTGCAAGAGTCACAATAGACTTCTTTCAACATAATGATGTCACATTGTTACCATGGCCACCAAGATCTCCCGACTTATCCCCAATTGAGCACGTGTGGGATATGATGGGTAGGAGATTGCTCAATTTGCAACGTCCTCCTTAGACTCTAGAAGCACTTCGAGAGGAGTTGGTGGTTGCCTGGAATGAGATACCACAGGAGCACATTGACCACCTGCTCAGAAGCATGACTAGGCGCGTTGGAGAATGCGTAGCACATCAGGGTGCATCCACACATTATTAAAGGTCAAAGGGCTTTAAAGCAGTGCAATCATTTTGAAATTTTTATCATTTACTTATTATGCTTCATTAAGTACTTATACAAAATTTTATTAAAGTAAAACCATTTAAACTGGGTGTTCGGATTTATATGTCACTTAGTATATAATATCAGTAGCTACAGATGGAGCACCTGCCATGGTTGGACGTTATCGTGGATTTATAATGTATTTAAAACAAAATGTGTCAGGGGTGTTAGCAATACATTGCGTCATCCATCGACAACATTTAGTTGCTAAAAATTTGAGTGTTAGATTGCTTGAATCACTTCATTTAGTCATTGATGCAGTAAACCGAATCCGAAGCAACGCGTTGAATACGTGGTTATTTGCGCAGTTGTGTGAAGAAAATGACGAACACTTTCATCAATTACTCCTTCACACTGAAGTACGCTGGCTGTCGCAAGGCTTATGTTTGACAAGATGTTTTGCACTTTTTGAGACTATTTTAGAATTTCTGGATACTAAAGATAAAATTTTAAAAGAAAATTTAATGAAGAGGAAAACAGACATCGCCTATTTAACAGATTTGTTTACAAAATTTAATATGGTTAATTTGCAATTACAAGGCGACAGTTTAAATTTGATTAAAACAAAGTCCATCTTATCAGCGTTTCTTGCCAGTGTTAAACTAATGAAGCAAAATATTGGACGGGGCGAATTTTCTCAGTTCCCCAATTTGTCACAGACAAGCTGCCAGGAAGACGTCGTTTCAACTTACGTTCAACATTTAAAAGCCCTCTATTCAGATTTTGAATCTAGGTTTGAGGATATTTTGACTATGGTAATACCATCGTGGATAATTAATCCATATGGTGACATAGAAGAAACGAATGTCATAATACAAGAGGAACTGACTGAACTAAGTACAAACGAAGAACTTAAGGTTCAGTTTAAAAACGGATATCAGCAATTCTGGCTGCAAAACAACATACCCGTTACTTATCCCGTATTATGGAATATAGCGAGGAAATTTTTAATTTCCTTTCCATCGTCATACCTAGTGGAAACGGGGTTCAGCGTTGTTACCAATCTCCTAACGAAAAAAATAAACAGACTGGACATCATTAGCCGAGGAGATTTAAGATTAACCCTTACAAAATTGACGCCAAATGTTGATAATTTATTATTAAAGCATCAGGTTTATCCTTCTCACTAAAAATATTGACTTATTGCTTATGTTATTTTGTTTATAGTTTATTTTATGTTTATTGGTGTCTGACCAATAAATGCCCGCATTGGGAATATGTGCCCGCATTGATTTTTTTAAAGAAAATTCAAGGATAGGTACACACTAAAATTCGTTAATTTTTTGCCTATTTTTAGATAACTTAAACGTATAAGAAGCGAAATTTAATCAAACTAACAGTGAAATTATTGTAGAACATACGTTTATGTTATAATTAATAAACGAACTCGCTTATTGCACTATTTTAAGTAAACAACTTTTTTATATTATTTTTCACTTTTTTTTTATTTTATCCCTCTTATTTTTTTTTCAATGCGGGCACTTATTCCCAATGCGGGCACTTATTGGTCAGACACCTGTTTTAATTTAAATTCAGTTAATAATTGTATAAATTAACATGTGTTTTTACTTTAAGTTTTTAACACTAAACTTCACTACAGTTAGAAATTTACAGGAAATCAATATCAGGTAAGTAGGGGGTCTACCCAACACGGAAAAACATGGCAAGGGGTCTACGACACAAAAAAGTTTGGGGAACTCTGTTCTAGATTCATAAATATCTATATCTTCATTCATTGATAGCATAGTCTTGCCTTTTAATAAGAGTTTTTTCACCCAATCAGTTATTTAGTCTGGTTGCGGGAGTACCGTGCAGACAGGGTAAAAGAAAAGAAAAAATTGAAGATATTAGAAGTAAATGGGTTTTGAAAATTTTTAGTTGACAAGAAACTACTGTCGTATATACCTGTAAATTAGTCGCAGCGTTACTTACCAGACTCATCACGGTAGAAAACGTCGTAAATAGTGGCAATCAGCAGGACTGCAAAGTATGTTGCTAAAATAAGACTGAAAAAAATCGGTATTACTAATCAAGTTTTATAAACATGAAGAATACATTTGAGGGGTTATTTCTTACACTGTGGCTAAGTCTTTTTATTCCCTTGACAATTTTCTAATATTCGCTCTGTTCACATAACATCCGAAACTTGTGTGATTTTCTCAATCTCCATACCATGTTGTGCTGGCCGCCAAATGAAGCAACATATGTAGAAGTGAGAATTTATTGGCGTTTCGGCCAGCAAACTTGGAAAATAACAGTTCTGTTTTAAAGATGAAGAACGAATACAATTTTCGAAATAGAATTTTACATCAGCAAAAATCCCATGTGAAGATTCTCCGTATACTAGACTACAACTAGAATTTTCTAAATGGAAGTATCTTTCAATAATCGTCAAAGATCAATATTCCTTTCCAGTTACAATAATCTAAAAAATTCACCTTTTAAACGTTTGCCCCAAGTTTTGGAACCATCTTGGATAGTAAGGTTTATTTTAATATACTGATATTGACTATTCAATTTTCTTAAACAAAATACAAAAATTGTTTTTTCGTTGTTGTTCTTGGGCCTAAACGAAAAGTGTCTTTGAGAACCTTTCTCTAAAGTTTTATGGTATTTTCCACCCCGAAAGACAATATAAAAAACAAAAATTTTAACGTTGCCAAATTTCCTAAATATTCTTCAAACATTCACTAACCAAAGCTCAAAGCATTCTAGGGGGTATTGTTAGACAAATGTGTACAATAACAATACCCACAAAACAACAAACAAAATTCCAAAGCATTTTAGGGGATTTTGTTAAACAAAGGTGTACAATAACAATACCCACTAAAATGCTTTGGAATTCTGTTAGTGGATGAATATATAGGAACTTAAGCAACTTTAAAGTTTTCGTTTTTTATACTGCTCCTACAAAATCACAAAAAAAATTAAAAAAACTTCATTCTCAGCGAAAAAAGGACAATTTGGAATTTCGCTAAGAAATTGTTTAAGCAATATTTGTCGCAAATTTGGGTCTGGTAAAATGGAAACTAATTAAAATGGATAATTTGATTATGCACTACTACTACTGCCATGCTAAGCACAGAGGTGGTATCTGCTATTTTCGGACATATTTAGTTATTGATACCTAGTGCCATTTTCTGTACACTTTGGTAAAGTTTTTGGGCCATAACATACAATAGTTTTCTTAGAACCCTACTGTAACGCCTTCGTAGCTATAACTACGCCGTCCATCGAGAAAATTAGCAAGCTTCGATGAAGGCTCAAGTTCGGCCTAGAAACCGCGGGATCGTTCTGGACTCGTCGATTGGAAGATAAATACACACACAGGGCAGAGCAGGGTAGTAGCAGAGTCGACAGCGGACGGTGAGTCAGCAACAGCAAGGAGTCAACATAGAAATAGTCTATACTACAACTATTTAAAACTGTAATGACTCATACGCGTGATCAACACGTGATCAGAGCTCGAACCCGGCTTCCTTCCAGTACAGCCGTATAGCGTATGACATATGTCGTTTCTGTGGCTTTGCGGTGGTCAACAGCACAGACAGAGATGGAAATAATGGCTGATTGTTCTCCGCCGGTAGAACCAGTGAAATCAAAGACGCGCCTCGACCGGCAGACTCATAGGCGTCGGCAACGTATTGGAACGTGTTTCGTTGAGCGATCGCGTATTGTGTGTTTTTATAAGAATTGTTGTGTGATTGTTATTGTTGTGGTTTCTGTGGTTACTGTTTTGGTTATACTTAACCATGGAGAGTACAAATGGCACGAGTGGAATTACTGAAAGGCAGGGAACAAGTAGACGGCTTCGTAAAGCACTGAAGAGGGACGCGAAAGAAATCGTGCTCAACGTGTTAAATTATCTGAACAGAACTATGTCCCAGGGAGATGCACTCGCGCGTTGTGAAAGTATGGCAGGCGTTCCAGAGTGGTGCATGAAAAGAAGAAAACTGGAGCTACTACTGATCCAAAGTTTAATTTGAAGGGACGAAAGGCCGTTAAATTGGATGACGATAGCAAAATTGCGTTAAGGCGAACCGTACATTCATTCTTCTTTAGGAATGAGATACCAACCCTCAAGGCTGTACATGCAGCGATCAAGGAAAATGAAATTATACCCCAAATGAGCGTCGAGGTAATGAGGAAATCCCTGCACGAAATTAATTTTCGTTACGAAACGCGTAATCGGAAGTCAGTATTGATAGAGAGACCTGAAATAGTCGCCTGGCGTCGAAAATACCTACGCGAAATGATTGAATATAGGCGACAAAGCAGAAAAATCTATTATTTGGACGAGACATGGGTAAATGCAGGTCACACAGTTAAAAAAACCTGGATAGACAAAAACGTAGTGAGTAACCGACAAGCAAGCATTGAAGGTTTGTCAACAGGTTCGTGGACCGTCAGGGAAAGGTCAAAGATTGATCGTAACTCATATTGGTAGCGATAGTGGCTTTTTAGAAGAGTGTGACTTGATTTTCGTCTCTAAGAAAGGAGGTGATTACCATGAGGAAATGAATGCCAGCTGCTTCGAGAGCTGGTTTCAAGGGGTGCTTCAGCGAGTTGAGCCCAACTCTGTGATCGTCATGGATAATGCTTCCTACCATAGTCGTCGAGCCGAACGTGTACCGACTATAGGATCTCGAAAAAGTGACATGCAGCAATCGTTGCGCGAAAAAGGAATCCCGTTTGACGATTCATGTGTGAAAGCGGAATTGTATGAAAAACTTAAACAGCACAAACCTGCGAACATTAGTTACGTGACTGATGAGATGGCCCGTCAATGTGGTGTGACTGTGTTGCGGTTACCGCCCTACCACTATGAACTGAACCCAATAGAGCTCATCTGGGCTCAAGTGAAGGGTTATATTGCGCGCCATAACACAACCTTCAAATTACCAGACGTCAAGGTTTTACTTGAGACTTCCATACAGCTAGTAACGCCCGAAGCTTGGCAGAATGCTATCCGTCATGTTGTGAAGGAAGAAACAAAAATGTGGCAGCTTGACCACCACATCGACACCATCATAGAGCCAGTTATAGTCAATTTCAACGAGGAAAGCGATAGCGACAGTTTATTACTGTCAGATGTAAGTGGAAGCGACGATGAATAAAGGTAATACCCAAATTTTTGACTTACAATATGTTTCAAACCACTCTTTATTAAGCATGTGACAAATCTAGTTCACCCATGTTAAACATTCATACCCCGCCTATGAACAGCCGACTACTGGTAGTTAAGTGATGTTCACGTGAACATCGATGAGTCATTACAGTTTTAGATAGTTATAGTATAGTCGACATGGTTATACATTTGTAATAAATCAGTTGCAAACGGTTTTTTCTTTACCCTACATTCTTTAACGGTCTGCCCAAATTAATCGATGGTTCAAACTTTGGACGCCTTTTTTATAGATTTCATGCCAGATGCAGATACCCCTCCTGCGCTTAGTATGGCAGAATAGTGCTAAAACCATAATACAGCTAAATAACTCACTATATGCATATGTCATGAAAATAGATCTTCATATTATCTGCTGTATCGCATAGACTATCAAGGAAAAGCAAGTGCACTGGTATACGGAAGGTTATTTCCAAATAATCCCAAAGCTTTTGGAGGTTAGCTATCGAGCACGAGCGGGGTATACATAAACCATATGTCATTCTCAAACACTGAACTAGATCCGACATCTGAGATTTCCTTTTCACGCCCACGAAGTTTGAAAACTGTAAAAAGAAATTACATTATTGTTTCTCAAAGGAGGATACAAGGTACAGATTTTCGGTGAAGAAGCCAATTGCTAAACGATGTCAGGTCAGAAAGAACCAGATTCTTTGCTTAAATCAAGCTCATTTTCTTTGTCAGGACATACCACAATATCTATGCAAAAAATTACCAACAACGTCAAGTCCTCTTTCAGGGCGAGCAATACAAAGAAAAAAATGGAGCAAAACCATTAATTAACTGAAAGAGGACGTCACGTTGTAAGTAGCTTTTGTCAATGGTATTGTAATGGTTTTAGCTGACATTCAATATTTTTCGTAGTATGCCCTGATGAAGAAAATAAACATTTTAGAAAGCTTAGCTTAAACAAAGTATCACGTTCTTTCTGGCCTGACTTCGTTTGCCGTTCGTGCTTCCCCGAGAATGTGAGCTTTGCATCTTAGCTAGTCAGCCAGGACCACCCTCGTCCTTTGTTTTAAAGAAGATAAGGCAGAAAAGAAGGAAAGTTAAAGCCTACGTCTTTTCGATGCAGGTGTGTATGGAAGAAATTCGAGATTTCCGCCGAAATATAATATACTAAGTGACATATAAATCCGAACACCCAGTTTAAATGGTTTTATTTTGATAAAATTTTGTATAAGTACTTAATGAAGCATAATAAGTAAATGATAAAAAATTCAAAATGATTGCACTGCTTTAAAGCTCTTTGACCTTTAATAATGTGTGGATGCACCCTGATGTGCTACGCATTCTCCAACGCGCCTAGGCATGCTTCTGATCAGGTGGTCAATGACCTCCTGTGGTATCTCATTCCAGGCAACCACCAACTCCTCTCGAAGTGCTTCTAGCGTCTGAGGAGGACGTTGCAAATTGAGCAATCTCCTACCCATCATATCCCACACGTGCTCAATTGGGGATAAGTCGGGAGATCTTGGTAGCCATGGTAACAATGTGACATCATTATGTTGAAAGAAGTCTATTGTGACTCTTGCAACATGTGGTCGGGCATTATCTTGTTGGAATGTTGGATCTGCCAGGGTGTCAAGATAGGGTAAAAGATGGGGTTCTAGAACTTCGTGGATATAACGCTGCGCGTTCATGTTACCTCTGATGAAGATTAAAGGTGACATGGAACCATAAGCTATAGCACCCCAAACCATAACTTCAACAATGTGACGAACATGTCTTTCAACAAAAAACTGTGGATTCCTCCTTTCACCACGTCGCCTTCTAACCTTGGCACGACCATCGTGCATGCCTAAACAAAATCGAGACTCGTCACTAAAGACAATACTGTTCCATTCCTGATCCCAGAGTGACCGTTGTCTGCACCACTCAAGGCGATTACGTCGGTGTTCTCGAGTTAAAGGGAGGACCCAGTGTGGCCGGTATGAAAACAAGCCAAAACTTCTCATTCGTCGGTAAACACTTCGCATGCCAATAGGTCTTCCGTGTTCTGCAAACCATTCATTTGCAATGGACCTGGTAGTGGAGAAACGGTCCCTTAAGGCCAATAATCTTAGGCGGCGATCTTCACGGTCTGTTGTTCTACGGCGGCGTCCAGTGCCCCTTGCTCTTTGCGTAGGGCCTTCTCGAAGCCATGCCTGACAACACCTAACCACAGTGTCTACACTTCTTTGCACTCTAACTGCAATTGCCCGAAAAGAAAGTCCAGCTTCCCGAAGTCCCACTATACGGCCCCTATCAAACTCACTCAGCTGACGAAATCGTACAGGTCTCCGTACTCTAGGCATCGTAACCGATCGTAAAGGATGTCAAGTACCAAAATCCGCCAACGTTGATTCTTTACTGCGGCTGAAATATTCATTTTTAGAGCGTTAGTGAACTAAAAAAAAGCAGTATAAAAACCGGAATGTCCAACTGATAAGGCTGAAAATTTTTTCACTTGTTATTTACAGTAAGATAAATACATTTACCAACTTTTATTAAAATAAAACCATATTAACTGGGTGTTCGGATTTATATGTCACTTAGTATATAATGTAATAATCGGCCGGTATCGATATCAAAGGCCGATGATATTGGCCTATCGGCCATTCAGCTCCGTGGATGAATGTATTGGCTGTAATGTATCTAAGTCACAATATCCAGGTGACATATACAGGAATCTGTTTCGTGAAACGGACTTCATGAAAAATTTTCTCGAATTCGTTCAATGCGGTCTTGCGTTTATTTTGTGGTGGGTAGAAAATCGATCATCTCTGTCACCATGACCAATCGCAGACTGCGTTGTTTTGTGGTCATTAGCTACTCTCGTCATGGAAACAGACGAACGGGAAGCAAACAAGTGGGTATGGTCTTTCAGAAACGTAAAATCTTCTGCACACGACCTACCAACTGTTTGCCAAGCTGATTTTCATCCTCATTGCATACGATGAACATGACCGAGGACCCTTACGTCTGGTGGTGAGTACAAGGTTAACAAGGCTCGCAATTCAATGTGGGCATGCAGACGTGTTGTCGGGGTGAGATCGCTGCTTAAACCAAAAGTGGGGTGCACTGGCTCTATACGACGATAGAACGTCCATTTCTTTTGTATGGCTCCCTGGTTTGGTTGCCTTGCATTGGAACCAAGACAACTAAGGGCAAACGGAATAAAATTAGCATTTGGCTTGTACCAGTATTACAAGCGCAGTGTGGACAACGCCATTAAGTGCTATGGATGCTCTGCTGGATCTCCCACCATCTAGCACATCGACTGTGCAGTCAGTGCAGCTGGGCTTTTTTGAATCCTGTCAAGGGACACACTGATCTGACTACCCCTAAATATCTCTTTGACCGCAAGTTTGATGTGGAGTATCCGACGAGGGCGGAGTGGGACTCCGGAAGCCGGAAAGTCTCCGAAGGAAGTGGGCAGGTCTCGGACACGGACGGTCGGTTACTGAAGAGGGCTCTGGGCCTAGAACTAGGCTATCTCTGCCCTTGGGTAGATACACCACTATTGTCCAGGCGGCAATCTATACAATTCTAGCTTGTGTATCCCGCATTTTGGAGAGGGAAGGTCCTAGGAGAAGAATAACAATCTTCTAAAGTAGCCAGGCTGCGATGAAGGCTCTAAGTGCCTGCTAGATCCCTTCGAGCCTTGTATTGCAAAACAGGGAGGCTCTGGATAGTGTATAGTAGCAGCGAGCCATCCGGTATCGTCAGTGTGGGTACCGGGGTATGCTGGGATAAAGGGCTATGGTATGGCGGATGCTCTTGCGACCGCAGGATCGCCGAGCACGCTTGTTGGTCCTGAGTCAGTCCTAGGAGTGCCCGCACAAAGAGTCAGGAGGAAAATGGAGAAGTGGATTGCTAGACAACACTCTCAGAAATGGAGAAGTATCTCAAGACATCTCCATCAGGCATGGAAGCATGCTTTTGCTTATCTTTGCATAGAGCCAACCTCAGGTTGTTGGTGGAACTGTTGTCTGGTCATAACACGATGAGGCGCCACCTGCATGTGATGTGAGTGACTGAAGATCCCAGCTGTATGTGATGCGGGGTAGAGGAAGAGTCCTCGCCGCATGTTCTGTGAGGCTCTGAGGTACTACAGGCAGAGTATACTGGGGTCCAACACATTGGATCCCTAGAATTTTAATTGGGACTCACGGCTATACTCAACTTTACTATATGGGTGAAGCGAGAGGCTTGCGGAATGTCGGGGTGCATAAAGACCCGTTTATTCGGCCTATGCACTGGCTCCTTAGGGTTTCCGGTACTAGTGAGCACGTAACGGCGCTGCCTGTGGCTGGTCATGGTTACAGAGATGGAAAGTCTGTGCCTGCCTGCCGACCGTGAATTGGTGGTGCGGCAGCTTTTCTGCATAGTTGCATAGCACGTTGAGCACTTATGAGCCAGAAGAAGTAAAGTTCCACTGTCTTTTTCAACGCATGGTATGAGGCCTCATACCATCCGGATGAAAATTAGCTTGGCAAGCTATAAGTCGGTGGCGTTCGTCACCTAGTTGCGCACAAAAAGAATAAACGTATTTCCAGAGATCAACTAGTTTTTTTTCATGTTTATTCCAGAAAACTTTCAAATCACCTGGTATAGAGTCAATCTACTTGACGGTCATCTTTCCTTACCTCCAATGCGTCAAACAAACGTCCGATTTCACTGGAAAATTTCGAACTGGGCAATATGACTACAGAGCAGTACTGGCCAGAAATATTTAGTGGCTTTTCTGTTCTTACTGATAGGCATCCGTCATAATCACCAGAGGCGAAATAGTTTCCACTCATCAGCCCTGGTGGAATTTTTGAAGAAGCATCTACCACTACAATTGAAAAATAGCTACATTACAAATTGAACCAGTGTGCAAAGTAAATTACTATGCTATTATTAGTACGAGCCCCTTCCCACTTCAGTTGGCCCAACTATTGAAATCTTAGTTTTTTCTTATCAAATAATTAAATAATAAATATGTAGCAGGGTATAGGTTTAAAATATTAACAATGAATATTTTGATAATATATAGTAGAAAACACCAACTTTATCACTCCCTAATCAAATTTGCAGCATAAAAATAACACATGTTGCAATTACAGCATATCAAACTATTTTCATTTCAATGCAAAGTAAGTCTATAACGCATAGGTGGCTGTGAAAAGTGCTCTGCGGAGTGACGCTGTTGGAAGGAGAATTTCGAGGTCCACAACTCATAGAGAGGCCCACAAACTGGGACTCAGCACTTGCAAGGTAAGTTTTCTTATAAAAAAGTGAAGTAAAAACAATAAAGTTGCAGAACTTGTTTATAGGCAAAAAAAGCCACTATTAACTCCACTGCAAAAGAAAAATCGGCTTAGATGGGCTAAAGAACATAGGCAATGGCCACCTCAACAATGGTGTGCAATACAATCGAGTGATGAGGCCCGATTCGAAGTTTGTGTTGGTGACAGTCGCAGTAGAGTTATTCGCAAAAAAATGAAGCATTCCAGGTTTTCCAACATCCATTATGGTCTGGGGCAGTATGTCATCAAAAGGAGTCGGAAAACTTCATTTTATTGATGGAAATGTGGATATAAACAAATATTTGGCAATTTTAGAAGAATCGCTTTTACCAGTGATGGAAGAATGTTTGGCATCCGGTGAAGATTTTGTGTTTCAGCAAGATGGTGCAGCGTGCCATACCTCAAAAAAGGCTATAAAATGGATGGAAGAAAATAATGTACCACTTTTGAAATGGGTGTCTAGCAGTCCAGATCTGTCACCTATTGAAACTTTGTGGCACGAGATGAAAAAGGTCCTACGACAACATCCTGCTCGTACAATCACCCAACTTAGACAAAAGCTTCAAGAAATATGGGATTGCTTTACACCAAATTTTTGCCAAAACTTGGTTAACACTATGCCCCAAAGAATTTCAGCCGTAATAAAAAATAAAGGTGATCTTACCCAATGGTAATCTTTCAATTGTTGCATTTATTCGCACATTGTTCATTTGTTCAGATGTTCTATTAGTTATAGGTCTAAGTGATTTCAAATATGTATTTTTTACGACTAGAGTGTATCGAAAATGTTTTTGATAAAATAAATTGTTTTAGAAGTAAATAGTTTCGTCATGTTTAGTTTGGTACAAATCTTGAAGTGGGAAGGGGCTCGTATACTTGAAAAGACTGGAGGCACCCAAAAAGATTCAGAGTCAGATTTATAGAACTCTTCCTTGAGACTTCGTTGGAAACAGTGAAACACTGACGCTTCCTTGAGGAACGTTCAATGGAGGGTTTAAATTTTTCATTTCACAGCAGGCTGTAACAGCTGTCATCATTTCATCGATGTCTGAAAGATTTTTCTGGCCGTATCTGTTTAGCATTTTGATGATAAAATTGGAGCGGTTTGGTTTATTTGTGCAAAATATCAGTAAATAATGCAAAATAATGTCTTTGCTTCCTCGGATTACTGCGCAATCACAGAGAAGTAAAAAACTGACTATAGGCAACCAGCAGCACCAAACTGCTCTGCCGGTTGCAAATTGTAGATTACATTGAAAACATATTTTACACCCAAATTTTATATTATCATAAATTATATGTGACCATGGAAAAAAAGAAGTTCAGGGACGAAAAGATAATGGTATATAGATAGATCTTTATTCATTACATTTCGTAAATTAATACAAGTGACCAGTCAAAGAAGGAAAAAGTAATTAGTACATACGACATTAAACATTTCTGACATCGATGACAGCTTGTGAAGACAGCTCTTACAGCCTTCTGCGAAATAGTAATAATAATATCTACATAATAATAAGTTTATTCACGTATCATACATAAATGCAAATGTAAATCCTCCCTGAACGTTGCTCAAGGAATAGTCGTTGAAACCTCAAACTCAACGAGGATCTATAAATCTGGCTCTTAGAGTATTCGTTATTTGAACTAACGGTGATAATCTACTAAGTGACATATAAATCCGAACACCCAGTTTAAATGGTTTTATTTTAATAAAATTTTGTATAAGTAGGTACTTAATGAAGCATAATAAGTAAATGATAAAAATTTCAAAATGATTGCACTGTTTTAAAGCCCTTTGACCTTTAATAATGTGTGGATGCACCCTGATGTGCAACGCATTCTCCAACGCGCCTAGGCATGCTTCTGATCAGGTGGTCAATGTCCTCCTGTGGTATCTCATTCCAGGCAACCACCAACTCCTCTCGAAGTGCTCCTAGAGTCTGAGGAGGACGTTGCAAATTGAGCAATCTCCTATCCATCATATCCCACACGTGCTCAATTGGGGATAAGTCGGGAGATCTTGGTGGCCATGATAACAATGTGACATCATTATGTTGAAAGAAGTCTATTGTGACTCTTGCAACATGTGGTCGGGCATTATCTTGTTGGAAAGTTGGATCTGCCAGGGTGTCAAGATAGGGTAAAAGATGGGGTTCTAGAACTTCGTGGATATAACGCTGCGCGTTCGTGTTACCTCTGATGAAGATTAAAGGTGACCTGGAACCATAAGCTATAGCACCCCAAACCAACTCCAACAGTGTGATGAACATGTCTTTCAACAAAAAACTGTGGGTTTGCTCCTTTCACCACGTCGCCTTCTAACCCTGGCACGACCATCGTGCATGCCTCAACAAAATCTAGACTCGTCACTAAAGACAATACTGTTCCATTCCTGATCCCAGAGTGACCGTTGTCTGCACCACTCAAGGCGATTCCGTCGGTGTTCTCGAGTTAAAGGGAGGACCCAGTGTGGCCGGTATGAAAACAAGCCAAAACTTCTCATTCGTCGGTAAACACTTCGCATGCCAATAGGTCTTCCGTGTTCTGCAAACCATTCATTTGCAATGGACCTGGTAGTGGAGAAACGGTCCCTTAAGGCCAATAATCTTAGGCGGCGATCTTCACGGTCTGTTGTTCTACGGCGGCGTCCAGTGCCCCTTGCTCTTTGCGTACGGCCTTCTCGAAGCCATGCCTGACAACACCTAACCACAGTGTAACTGCAATTGCCCGAAAAGAAAGTCCAGCTTCCCGAAGTCCCACTATACGGCCCCTATCAAACTCACTAAGTTGACGAAATCGTACAGGTCTCCGTACTCTAGGCGTCGTAACCGATCGTAAAGGATGTCAAGAACCAAAATCCGCCAACGTTGATTCTTTACTGCGGCTGAAATATTCATTTTTAGAGCGTTAGTGAATTAAAAAAAGCAGTATAAAAACCGGAATGTCCAAGTGATAAGGCTGAACATTTTTTCACTTGTTATTTACAGTAAGACAAATACATTCACCAACTTTTATTAAAATAAAACCATTTAAACTGGGTGTTCGGATTTATATGTCACTTAGTATATGTGCTAAAACCTCAAAAAATGCAACTTTCGTATTGTATCGTTTACTTTGAACGATTTGGCGAGAATATTAAAAGGCATGGTTTGTGCCACTCTTAGCTGGTAACGAACTTATATATACAGCTCTTACTTCAGTTAAAAATACTCAATGGTTTCTGGGTGGAATAAATCAAAAATGTTTATAATTTCTGGGAAATTTTCGAACATCAGCCTTGCTTTTTTCTGTACGGAGTTTCTTATATTCTGCATACTTTTAACCACTCTTTCCATCCTATTCACAATTATCAGTTTTCGTGAACTTTAGATCGTCTAACTAACTCCAACGCAACATCGATGAAAGTTTTTAAACCCTGCATCATACGTTCAACGAGCCCAACAATCTACGTATAGGTCTAGTTTCTACTTGATTTGATTTCTCATCATTTTTTCAATTTGATCTTGAAATAACCTTGAAGTGACCTTGGAACGCCCTTCAAATGACCTAATGTGGACAAAAAGGCCTCAGATTCGGACTTAGGGACCCCAAAAATCTATGTACAGGTCTAGTAGATTTCATTTATTGGCATTTTTTCAATTTGACCTTGAAATGAACTTAAACTGACCTCAGATTTGGACTGAGCGAGCGCAAAAAGCTATAGATGAATTCCAGATAGCCGATTACTTACTTCGTAAACTTCGAAGTTTCACCTAGAACTGTCCTTGCACTAGGTTAAAGTCAATTCGTTTAGTTATTTTATTTGTATATACATAGAAAAAGAATGGATTTCTTAGAATTGTATTTGGCTGAACACCAGCCTTATGGCCCCTTCTCTTATTCTGTTATTGAATTATACAGCATCATTTAGAAGTACTAAAGAAAAACCTTAGGGGCCTGGATCTCAGTAGGATATTTCTCACAGGATGGATTACATCATTCTTGTTGTTCTGGTATAGTATGGTATGCACACGAAATACTACACCCTGTATAAAATATGTGAACATCATCCTTGTCGATATAAGCACTTTCTTTTTTAAAACATTCACTTCTTTTACTTGATTGGTCAGGATTTTTACACCATAATGCTCTCATAGATTTCTACGTGCTCTTTTCCAGCAAACATTTCCGTAATTTATATACTTAAGATTTTTTGTTTGGTAAGTAGTTTCGTCGTTTAATAAAGATAACGTGACGCCTAAAAAGACGTTTCAAGGATATTTTTCGAGTTTTTTTCATTTCAAGTTCTTCTTAGTCTTTCAAGGGAAACATAGATCTATGGCAAATTATAACAAATTATGATCATGTCTTGCTGTTTTGTTTTGGTGTACGGGCACGGATATCATGTAAAAACCTACAAAACGTCAAAAAAACCTATAAGATGTCAACTTGCAGACTATGTGGTTTTTAGGGCACAAACAGTCATTCCACGTTTGCTCACTAGGATCGTTGTGAACGTCCATCTATGAACGAATCACTCAACTAACTACACGCATTATTGGTT